GGTTTTGGGAGGGCTCAGGGAGGGGGTCCCAGAGAGAGGGGTCTCAGGGACGGGGTTTCAGGGAGGCGACTCTCAGGGAAGGGCGCCCCCCCCATCCTCTACTTCTAGCCGGGTCCCAGTGCCCCTCCTCACACCCTGCGCCGACCCTTCCCCCCCTCTCCGGAGTAGCGCTGTTGTGCCCTGGAAACCCACCCCCTTGCAGGGACCCCATGTCTGCCCAGATACACTTTGAGCCACAGCCCAGAGACGCTGCAAGTGGGGAGGGGGCCCTTGAACAGAGCTCTCGAGAAGAGGAAAGGTGTGTGGGAGGTGATAGAAGGACAGGGCTAGGAAGAAGGCTGGGGGGGGTGCTGTCACCAGCCTCGAGGAAATGTCCGAGCCTCCCCCAAGCTGCTCCCTCCTCGTGGAGCCTTCACCAGCCAGAGACTGAGTGGCTGCCAGCCGCGCCCGAACTCACGTCCTGCTCACACTCTGGCGTGGATTCCCAGCTGCTGGCTGGGCGTCTCCTTAGGGGTCCCCCAGACACATCATACTCTGACAGTCCAACTTGAGTGTCATTCTCACCCAGAGAGCCACCTCTTCTACTCAAGGGTCAGGGCCTCATCCTTCTGGTCCCTGACATCCCCTCTGCCCTTCAGCGTCCCACACCCTCCTACCTCCACTGCCCCTTCTGGAGGCCGCCCCTCTCAGTTTCCGCCGTCAACTCTTCAGCCTCTTTCTTCAGGACCAAGCCCCGGCTTTAAGCCACACGCACATCCTTCCTGACGCCATCAAAGCTCTCACCCAAGTGACCTGGAGCTACTTGTCACTTCTGCTCTTGCCCAGAGACCCACCTCCCCATAAAACTCATGTGTCATCCTCCCCCAGCACTGATAACTAGGGGTGGTAATTAGGGGGCATCGTCTTAGGGGGTCTCACCAGGCTCTATCAGACCAGCAAACCCGGTCTTTTTTATGATTTTGAGTTTTGTTCCGCATTGTTCTGCTACTCTATCCAGGATCTCCTGCACTGATCCCTTGTGTGTGTGTGTGTGTGTGTGTACGTCTTAGGTGTCCAGGAATCCTATGCGAAGCGAAGGCTGCTTTGGGCTCCTCAAGTCTGTCCAGGATAACCCGGCATCTGCCCTTGAGTTACTGGATTACTCTGTAAGGACTTTTCATAACGCATCTCCCACCTTCCCAATGGCCCTGTGAGGGGTCATTATCTCCCTTGTGGAAATAATGCAAGCACAAAAAGAATGAAAGGGACAGGGCTTATGCAAGCAGTTTGTCTCTATAGATACAGAGAGACCTTTCTGTTCAGAAACAAAGAAAGGTTCCTTGAAGGCTGGTTACTGCAAACTTTTAAGGAGAAAAGAGGAAATACAACGTAGAAAATTAACCATTTGGCTGGCCTTCAAATCATTGAAAGGAGCCCTGGAGGTACAATGGTTTAAAGCATTTGTTTACTAACCAAAAGGTCTCCAGTTGGAACCCACCAGCTGCTTCTCAGGAGAGAGATCAAGCAGTCAGCTTCCATATAGACTGACAGCCTTGGGGACCCTCTGGGGCAGTTCCACTCTGTCTTCTAGGGGCGCTGTGAGTCAGAATCTACTCCAGGCAGTGGGTTTGGTTTGGGCTTTGCCTTTATGAAGATTGACAGCCTGGGAAACCCACTGGGTGCAGTTCCACTCTGTCCTCTAGGGGCGCTGTGAGTCAGAATGGACTCCATAGCAGTGGGTGTGGTTTGGGCTTCGCTTCTGTGAAGATTGACAGCCTTGGACACCCTCTGGCGCAGTTCCGCTCTGTCTTCTAGGGGCGCTGTGAGTCGGAATCCATTCCAGGGCAGAGAGTTTGGTTGGCCTTTGCAGTGGGTGCGGTTTGGGCTTTGCTTCTGTGAAGACTTGACAGCCTTGGAGACCCTGTGGTGCAGTTCCACTCTGTCCTCTAGGGGCGCTGTGGGTCAGAATGGACTCCACGGCAGTGGGTTTCGTTTTGGGTTTTTATAGTGGGTACATCCTTGAAAACTCAAACGCGTTTGCTATGAGTCGGAACAACTCGATGGCAGCGAGTTTGGTTTATATGTCATATGTAATGATACATGGCCTCATGATGGGCTTTCTTTGCAGGACAACCAGGTGACCAGAGAGTTTGATGATCTTGTTAATGCAGTGAAGGTAATTCTCCCAGGGCTGCACATAAAAGCAGGTGCTCACAGAGTGGAATACAAGCAAGAGTTGTTGCCAGACTTCAAAGCGTCCTCACCAGCATCTACCTCTCACTGACTTTGGAATGTGGTTTCCTCATCTTCTCCCATCACCCACCTCAACTCCCATGTCAAAGGTTCTTGGACGCATCATGCCTTCCACTTCTGTCTGCGTTGAGGCCCTCATCAACTGGATGCTGATCTCCTTGGAGCTGGTATTCATGATGACTCAAGACAGCGTGCCCACATCCCCGCCCCCCAGCCTCAGTACTATGTTGGATCTATGTTTCCTCTTGTTGGTCCTTGTAACATTCATTGAATCTTACTACATGCCACACGTTGAGCTGGGCACAAGGGTCAGAGGAGCCAAGCAAGTCCTTATCCCTGGTACAAGACAACAGACATCTTATTGCACTGGGCAAATCTGCTGCAAATGACCTCTTTAAAATGTTAAGGGCTTTAAAACGTTGAAGAGCAAAGATGTCACTCTGAAGACTAGCATGCACCTAACCCAAGCCAGGGTATTTTCAATTGCCTCATATGCATGTGAAAGCTGGACAATGAATAAGGAAGATTGAAAAAGAGTTGATGCCTTTGAATTATGGTGTGCGTGAAGAATACTGCCATGCACTGCCAGAAAAATGAACAAATCTGTCCTGGAAGAAGTACAGTCGGAATGCTCCTTGGAGGCGAGAATGGCCAGACTTCGTCTCACCTATTTTGGTCATGTTGTCGGAGGGGACCAGTCCCTGGAGAAGGACGTCATACTTGGTAAAGGGGAGGATCAGAGAAAAAGAAGAACACCCTTAACAAGATGGACTGGCAGAGTGGCTGCTACAGTAGGCTCAGGTAGAGCAAGGACTGTGAGGCTGGTGCGGGACCGGGCAGCATTACGTTCTGTTGCACACGGGGTCACTATGGGTCGGAGCTGACCCGACAGTGCCTCACAACAACACAGACATAAGCAAAAATGTGTAAAATATTGATGCCTAAAGATGGTTACTGTGGTAGTTACGGTTGTGTGTCAACTTGGCTGGGCCTTGTTGAGTGGCTGGGCAGCTGGTGGTAGTTATTCCCCATGATGAGACTGGCAATGAACTCCATGGTGGGATCTACCACAAGCAGCTGAGTAGCTGCTTTAGGGATGTGGTCTGCTTCCCGTATATAAGCAGCAGCTTGGGGAATGGTCTCTAGCTTATGGCACGCTTGAACCCTGCATGTTCAGCAGCCTGCCACACTCTGCCAACCTTGGGACTTTCAGTGGACTTGAATTAATGGCCTGCCATGTGGTTTGGTAACATTGGGACTGTGTCTTTTTACTAGTCAGCCTTGGGTTTGTCAGTCTCAGCAGCCAGCACCTGTCTGAGTGAAGAAAAGCCTCCAGCTTCAATGGGCCAAGAGCAGGAGCCAGAGCTGAAGCCCAAGGTTGAGGGCCTTTTCCCCAGCCCCTAGAGCCTGGCACTTTGAACTCAGACTTAAAGCCTCCAAACTGTAAGAGAATAAACTCCTGTTTGTTCAAGCGTCCCATTTGTGGTATATTCCTGCCAGAGCAGTACTAGGTAAGCAGAACAAGTACAGAAATGCCATGATACCAATGAAAATTGGAAATAACTTAAATGCTGAATGACAAGGGATTGTTAACTAAAATTAGGAATTCTGTAACCATGAGAAGCCACATGGGCCAAAAACATTAAATGAGTCAAGATAACTCATGGGATTAAGACTAAATGAGAAGATTGGGATCGAACAATTGCATGCATTTCCTCCTAAGGTTACCATATGCCTCAGCAGTTCCAGTCCCAAGTAGATACCAAGCGGAAACAAAAACATGTCTCCACAAGTATCCATAACAGCATCAATCATAGTAGACCCAAAGTGGAAACAGTCCAAGTGTCCAGCAGTTGATGACTGGGTAGACCCAATGTGACATAGCCATAGTATAGAATATTATTTGATCATGAAAAAGGGATGAAGTTTGGGGTGATGAAAATGTTCTCAACTTGATTTTATGATTCCATTGATGTGAAATGTACAGGATAGCTTGATGTATAAGTGATAGGATATAGATTAATGGTTGCCTAGAGCTGGAGGCAAAGGAGCTCTGGTGGCACAGTGCCTAAGGCATTGGACTGCTAACCAGAAGGTTGGCGGTTCAAACCCACCAGCTGCTCCACAGAAGGAAGTTGGGGCAATCTGCTTCTGTAAAGATTTACCGCCTTGGAAACCCAGTGGAGGTGACTGAGTTGAAATCAACTGATGGCAGTGAGTTTGGTTTGAGAGCTGGGCGTGATGAGGGGGGCTGCAAAGCGATAAAGGGTGTGGGATTTCTTTTTTGAGCTGATGAAGATATTGTAAAATTGGTGATAGTGATGATTGCAAAATTCTATGAATGTATTAAAAAGCATTGAATTTCACGCTTTAAATGGGTGAATTGTATGGCATATTAAACTGTTTTTCAAAACATGCTATTTTAGAAAAATCAAGCCTATGAGATCAAAAAGGCAGCATGTGCCCAGGGAGAAAGCTCAGAAGGCAGGAAGGGGTAGGGAGGAAGGACGGAGGGAGACGGAAAGCACAGGGAGGAAGTGGGAAGAGGCTGTTTGACGGGGGATTGCAGTCAGTGTCATGAGGCAAAATGTTTGGGAACCGTAGGATGGAAAACCAATTTGCTCTGTAAAATTTGACCCAAAGCACAATTTAAAAAATAAAAATAAC